GTAGGGTGTGGTTAGGGTTAGGGTTGGGTTTGAGTTAACTTCAAACCGATATCAAGTTTATGCTGGTTTGCGGAAAACCTTTTGTTATCTTCAGAGAGGGGCAGGCTAACTGTTCCCCTTGTTTACAGTCTTCAGACTAAGCTAATATAACATCTGCTGGCTGCGGCTACATCGAGTACTTAAAGCACAGATATGAGATTTGCATTTCTATGGATTACTCATCTCACTCTTGGAGGAAATGCAACATGCATTTCCCTACATGTCAGATTTTTCATTTAACCTTGTGGTGACCAGCTTTTGCTTAAACATATTTTTGTCTTTGCATGATTATAAGAGCATACTTCACAAAATGAAACAGATGTTTGTTTGTGAATGAATGAGAGCGAGAGAGAGAGAGAAATTACTGTTTATCTTACTTTTGCAATCAAATTTACATAACTCATTTCCCACTGTTGAAGGATTGGTTCCTCCTCACGTGACCTTCTGAACCTTGAAATGGCATCAAATTAGGTAAAGGCAGCATGTGTGTAAAGGACAGGGAGGGAGAGAGAGGGAGAGCGAGAGAGAGGGGGGAGGATGATTATATGCTGCTCTGACAGACTGGTGGGAGGAAAACAGGGGGAGGTATTTGTGGAGAAGAGAGAGACAGACTGAATGTCAGTCATGGCCTCTAGCCATCCTTTTCTGCAATCACAACATCTTTATCCATCATCATTAACCATGCTAAACTCTGCAAGTGCCGATCATCTGTTTATCCACCACAGAAATGTACAAAGGCTTTCATATCACTGTGGACAAGGGGAAGAAGCAGAAGGAGATTTACGGGAGTGGTTGCTCTTTAAGTCATTGCCTGTTGTTAATGTTAAAAAACCTCTGCGGCATATGTAAAGCAAAAGATAGGACATTTAAATCCAAATTGAACAAACACATGAGTTTGTGCACGTAGCCTGAAAAATCCCCCAGTTTAAATTGAAGCTCTAGTAAAGAGATACCTAATAAAAGATGTTACCTTGAAGTTTTTTTTTTTTGCTTCTCTGCTGCCCTTAGCATATCTCATGAAATATAGGTTTCTACAGTTTTCATGAAACTAGCTTTTATTTTGAAACAACTCTGGTTAAGAAACAATTCTGTTGAACGTAATGATATTAGTGACTAAGACCACCAGACTGTATAAAAAGATGGAGAACATTACGGCTTCCAAAAGTGAAGCCAAAACAATTAGAGCTCCTCTGACTGACTGGCTACAGTATAGGTCATATACTCCACCTCCTCATGTTAACAGATGGAAAATGAGTTGAACTTTAAAAAAACAAAATACACGACAAGAACATGTTTCTCAAACATTGTTTGTCTTTATAGTTTTGTAAGTGTTCACTTTTCTAAGAGTTTTAATTAGTATTTGGTTCCATAAAAACGGGTATAGAAAATGATTGACAGCTCTGTTGATGAATGCACAGCGAGAGGAAACATAACCAAAACTAACACAGGAGTCATCAGACTTTCCAAAACTAGTTTGCCACTGGGAAGCTTTGTATCATGAATGGGGGGATGCAAATAATCAGACAGTCCTTTAAAATACATGCAGGATTTTCACTCTGCATTACATCAGAAATGTTACATTTTTCTATGAATCCACATTGAGCAAAATGTCTCCACATCTATATGTATGACAATCCTTAAAATAGAGTGACTTTTGGCCGAGACAATGCAATTCCTCACATTCAAAGGAGCACCCTTGGAAATTTGATTTGTGCATGCACTGGAGAGTTACTGACGGCTCTGATGGTGAGGCGGTGTGATCAGGGAAGTGAGAGACATCAGTTAATCCACACACTGTCGTTGCAGTGGGCATGAGGACAGTTGCTCACTTTACAGCCTTACTCAAAGATCCAAAGAGCTTCTAAACATACATTGATTTGGAAATCCTGTGCAGATGAGCAGCTCCCATATTGTACAAGTGGGTCCAATGCCTTGTGCTGTTAATTAGACTGTATGCAAGTGTCTTATCTGAAAAGTAATACTGTTCAAATGGGCTCCCAGCCCAGCGAGGGAGCAAAGCTTTTTTTGAAAAAGAAAATCCCAGTTTGTTTGTGTTTATTACACAACCAAGTGTCTGCTATCCTGTTGTTTCTGTAAAGCTGGATGTGAAGCGGGTTTAATTTCCCCACAGGAGTCATCAGACTTTCCATAACTTGAGAGTCCGCTACAAACCAGCACAAGAGTCTGTTCTGATTTGGCTGTACCACCCTGAGGGTTCTTTGCTGTTTTACATGTGAGTTAAATATTTGTTTTTGAGGGGGTATTTTGACCTTATTATTGTACAACGGGAGGAGGTGGAGACATGTAGCCCATCTGTATATACAGTCGGAGGTTAAACAGTAAAATGAAAAGTAAAGGAGTGAAATGTTTCAGATCGAATATCAGCTGCATCACATTCATCATTTTTTATCAAATATCAACTCATTGAGACTTGTTTACACATGTCCATCATGCACTGCTCATACATGCTGAATGTAAAACCCCATTTGTGCTTCACATACAAGAACACAACTAATTCTAACAGCCAATGATTTAATCCACCAAGTATGTGCTTATCATCCTGGCATATGTGTGTCAGTTTACATACACGTGTGGGTTTAAGTAGAGTATCAGTGTATATTCATAACATTTTATCCTGATGAAGTAATCAGAGGTGTAACTAATGTAAGATCAAATATAACATCCCTTTTTCTATTTTTACTCTAAGTAGTAGAGTACTCATGTTTGTTGTTCAGTCTGTCATTTCATCACTTTGCTTCATAATAAAATATCTTAAGAATCACTACACAAAGTAGTCAGACATTTTTAATGTTGTTCTGTTCTTTAGTCAGCATAAAATCAAAAATTCCACAAGTTTAAAATATCTCTTTGTATGTTACTCCTACATTTAATGCATAACAAACCCCTGTAAAAAAAAAAAAACTCATTTTAGAAAGTGGGCATTTCTAGTTGAGAGCAAAGCTAATAAACTTATATCTAATATTTTAAAGAAATATCTGACCTTTGAATACAAACATGTGAAAAAAGCTTCAAATAAAGAGAGAAACATTTATTTTACCTTTATTTAACCAGGAAGTCCCAAAGACAAATTTTAATCTCAATGGGACTTCCTGGTAAAATAAAGGTCAAATATGTTTTAAAAAGTAATGTCATTTTTCTTTTTTTAAAGCAACATGTGTACTTATGTAACTTATGTAAACACGCTTCATAAAGTTACTGCGGCCTACAGAAGAGCCCAAAGCCTGTGGGGCCTTCAACTCATATGCAGATCATTTACAGTATGAGGTGAATGAGTGACTTTAATTAGTGTATTTGAATGACTGGAAATAATATAGCGACACGTGTGCACAGCTGTGCAGCTTCACACCCTCAATGAGATCTATAATCTAATTAATTCTTATTCAAATCAATTAAGGGACAGATGAGCGAGCGCCTCTTCTGATCACCGTGAAATCTCGAGCGTCAGCGTCTTTTGTCTTGATGACCCCCTGTTAATATGCTTCTATTATAATCAGTGTGGTTTTTTTTTTAAATAGAGTTTTTAGTGAAGGAATAAAACTATTATTGATTTTTACGATTTGTGGTGCTATACAATGAGCAGGACTGAAAGGTTTCACTCTCACAAACACACCTGGTACATGATTTTCTTAAGTACCCTCAGTGGAATGAGGCGAGTTGACGTAATGGCACAGAGTGTCAGGGGGAGCAGGTGTTTATGCCCCTCAGAGAAATAAGAGAGCTTGAGAAGCAGGCTGAGAATGACTGACAACCCCACCTTGCTCCTCCTTTCATTTTTCTTTTTTTTTTGCAGCTTTTATCAATCCATCTGCAGTCATCTTTGATCCTTGCTCTTTCTCTCCATTTCTCATCTGTTAGGCTTTACTCTATACCAGCTCTCCCATCATCCTTTATCTCGTCCTGTTTTTCTCTCCGGGTTCTGTGCTCTGTTTCCGCTCTTTTTTCGTTCTCTGAATCTCAAAATATCCTGTTAGCTCAGCTTAGTCCCTGTATTGTTCCTCCCAGAAAGCCCACTGACACTTTTGGTCAAAACATTTAGAAGCGCACATGCTACATAAGCTGTGTGCTACAGTACATGTATAGATGGATGATCTCAAGCTTGTAAAACATTTAATCTTTTTTTTATTTTATTTACAACTCTCCCATGACGACCTGCATGGTTTACAATCCAACTTGATTTGTTAAGACCACAAAGCTCCTTTTTTTTATCTGCTCACCAGAACTGCCAGTAGCAGCTTTGTATCATGAATGGGGGGGATGCCAATAATCAGACAGTCCCTTTAAAATACACGCAGGATTTTCACTCTGCAATACATCAAAAATGTTACATTTTTCTATGAATCCACATTGAGCAAAATGTCTCCACATCTATATTTATGACAATCCTTAAAATAGAGTGACTCTTGGCCGAGACCAATGCGATTCCTCACATTCAAGGGAGCACCCTTGGAATTTGATTTGTGCATGCACTGGAGAGTTACTGACGGCTCTGATGGTGAGGCGGTGTGATCAGGGGAAGTGAGAGACATCAGTTAATCCACACACTGTGGTTGCAGTGGGCATGAGGAGCAGTTGCTCACTGCTAAGCGATCAATTTACTGTATCAGCCTTAAAGCTCCATTGTGGCTCAGTGATCCAAAGAGCTTCTAAACATACATTGATTTGGAAATCCTGTGCAGATGAGCAGCTCCATATTGTACAAGTGGGTCCAACGCCTTGTGCTTTTAATTAGACTGTATGCAAGTGTCTTATCTGAAAAGTATACTGTTCAAATGGGCTCCAGCCAGTGAGGGAGCAAAAGCTTTTTTTGAAAAAGAGAATCCTGTTTGTTTGCGTTTCTTGCAAAACCAAGTGTCTGCTATCCTGTTGTTTCTGTAAAGCTGGGATGTGAAGCAGCTTTAATTCCTTATCATTACCGGCATACATATGTGGTCACAGTTTACAAAATGTATGGAAAGAGAGTTGCTGCTCAAGTGCACAGCCTCATTTCCATTTTAATTTCCTGGTGCTCTGTCTCCATCAGCAGCTGAGGATCTTGATGAAGGCCCGTCTGAACTCGATGTTGAAGGTTGTGTAGATAATGGGGTTGAGGGCACTGTTGACATACCCCAGCAGGTGAATGCACTATAAAGCCAGGAGGCACGTAGCATGTCCTGCAGTGGGTGTTCAGAATGTGAGTCACAAAGAAAGGCAGCCAGCAGATGAGAAACACTCCTGGAGCAGCCAGGGAGCAGAATGAAACAGGAAACACAAGAGCACACATGTAAGCACGGGTTAACAGCGTATTGTCTTCTGTAACATTATTCAATGTATGGGGCAATCGTCATCAGCCAATTATGTGGGGCTGCAAGACCACATGTGAAAAATGATGTTCAGCACAAACACATCCACTGTGCAGGAGTTTTAATGATCCTGTGTTTTAAGTTAGCAGCACATTGCTGGTATTTACTTGGTTTAAAACATTTCAATTCTCAAGCTAAACTTGTTAATGAGGTATCCTTAAATCTAAAATATGTATAATATTTTCTCTTAGAAGTGTGAAACATAAAATATAGGAAAGCTGTGGATAAAAACACTGTTACAAGTATAACCAGCCATTACTTGACATTTCACAATAATAAGGAGGCTGACCACCCTGCAATACAGGCTGCTTTTTTTTATCTTGTTATAATTTATTGGACACTAGTTTTGGCGGGGATGTTAAGGTTTCTTTTTCTTTTGTTTCCTTTTGATAAGTTTGTAAATGACCTTGGACTGGCTTTCATAGGGGAAATAATGAATGGGTTTAAGCTTTGTTCAAACTTCACTGTGTTGCCGCAGTAGTCTTAGACACACCATTATGAGGTGTGAACAGAGCGTGGGCAGTGTCTACTTAAAAAGATGTGAAAGGATTCAGGTGAAGCGGCAGCTGCTGAGCGAGATCACATGTGCAGACTCCAACTAGCAGAAGAAACGTTACTGCACTGGATAGCCGACCCACACCCCTTGAACTTGAATCAAACCGGTTATTAGCTGTTTTGTTGAAATCCAGCAATGAACCAAGATTTTAACTCACAGACGACGCATCGGATTGTCACTCACCGCAAGGCCGTCCAGGGCGCACAAGGCCAGTAGCCTGGCAGACAAACGTGCAAGTGAGATTACCCAGCCTTGTATTTTCCAGTCATGAAAACCAGCCCCTTCTTTTCAATGTTCTTGTCTTTTTTTTCAAACTCCAGGCTAGGGCTAGCTTTTCTCTCCCAACTGACCGCGAAACAAACGGAAGCCACTGTGCGAAACGGGTTGTTTGCTCCAATGTTTTATATGCATTAAACTTTGAAGTCATTCTGAACAATCATGGTGTGTGCTGGATCATAAATATATCATTGTCAGATTATTGCGGAAACGGATTTGCATCGATCAAAGCCTGCAGATTCTACATTTACATATTGATTCTGTTAATAGAGCTTAGTGTTAGCTAATTATACTATCTAAAACAAGCCAATGAAATCTTCTATCCACTTTTATTTTAGGAGAAAAACCTGCAGCTGGCACTGCAGTTGGACTTTTTTTTTTGTTTGTTTTTGTGTAAACACCTTATGCTTCATAACTGACTTTGAATTTCAAGTGGTTTAATCTGCTGTTATAATGTGCTTGATAGGAAAAACCTTGAAAAACCTTTAAAAAACACTTTCTGTACACAGAACAGCAGCCAGCAGGACACAGTTTATTATTCATAACCGACTTTAAATGCTGCAGCATTGTTGAAACACTGATAAAACTTTAATTGGGGTCAAGATCCCAGCAAAGCAGTGGTCAGCCGGATGAAAAGCAGGTGGGAAGTGGGCAGGACAGAGATAATTTCCTGTGTGTGCCAGACTTATCACTGACAGCAGCGTAATGTAATCAGACACCTCTGATTACATTTTTGTTAGCGAGATCTTTGCCGTGCCAGGCCTAACTGGACCGGGCTTCCAGGAACCTGCCTGATAATTAGAGCGTGTGGAAGTTGTGTCAGGAGCTACAGCGTGTGTCTGAACACACACTGTGAAACCCAAACTAGCCAGACATTTTTATGTTGACATTTCAGGTTGATTTATTTCGGCTCTACAAAATGTGAAGCATATGCACACGGAGGAAGCAAATGTGCCAATGCCATCACGAGGGCAGAACAGGTGACCAGGTGAGCATGGCACAAAAGTCTGTCTGTAAAATGTTAAAGGACTTAAAGTGGAATGAGTAACTCTGCCTGTTTTTCATTTATAATACTGCCTGCATAACCATGACATTTACATTATCATTTCCTCAGCTTACAGTCTCAACTTACCAAGAACAATGGCGAGCATCTGTGTGGCCTTTTTCTCCCGCGCGTGCATGCTCCTGAATCGTGGATTGTTGTGAGAATAAGGGGTCGACTGCAGTGACGTGTGTGTTCGTCCATTGGACAGATCCTTCACCTCGCAGCCCATCCTGATGGCAGGCTTTTCATTCTGGTTGTGCTCCTCGGCCTCCTCCTCCCGACGCTCCTGGTCCAGCTCCAGCTCTGTGCGTCCGCAGGAAGCGTGGCTGATGCTGCAGCAGTTGTGCATGTCCACCGGGGGCCGCATAAAGTTCTCAACAGGTCCCGTCTTAGGGCGTTTCCCCCACAGGCATCCCGACAGAAGGTTGGGCTTGGATGGACCTGAAGGCTCCACACTCTGCTGTCAGGACAAAACATACTCATACATATTAGAATAGCATAGCATACATATTCAAGCACAGGTAAACATGTTTGACAAGATTACATTTCTAAAACTTATTCAAGCTGTTTAAAGTATTTTTTTTATGTAAATGGAGGAACAACTTATTATATGTCATTTTAAAGGTTGCAGTTGACGAAACAAACTCCCAGCTCTGCAGTTCCTCTCTGCCATATAGACTGTTTAAGCATCTTTCAGCTCATTGTTTTGGTTTTTCATTGTTGTTTTTATTTCTGTCCTGCAGCTTTAGTGTTTTACTTCAATCTGAACAATTGCAGCAGGTAGAACTCTTCTGAAAAGATATTTCTGATCAACAGCTGGTGCTGTTGCTTCACACCAAACATTCACCACATGGCAGACAAAGTCAGCAACAAGCCAGTGAACAGAGAGGCGCTTTTGTAATCTCTAAACCGACCTGCATATTTTGTGGGTGAATTTGGAATTTTGTGTGTCGGGAAGACTAAGACTAAGACTAAATATTGCTTGTTGAGTTATTGTGTTCAAAGCTTTTTGTTGAACTTTATAACGTGTCAGTTTTGTGTACTTACTGTATGTTTCTGCTTTTTAGAGTTGGAAAATTTGGGGTGAGAAGCAGGGAATGAGCCACAGGTCGGATTTGAACTCAGCCCGCCCACTTTGAGGACAACAGTACATGGGGGTGCTCGAACTAACCACTTGGCCACCGATGTCCCAGTGTTGTTCTGCATTCCCATATTCCACAAAGGTCAGAAATTGATTACAGTTCTTTGCTCTTGAGCGTTGTATGAAAACATCAGAAATTGAGTGCTTCTTCAGCATGTACACTTCTATACAAATAGAAGGTTATGGCCAATTTATCTTAGAAGCGCTGCTCAGGCGGACTGAAATTGGTGGAAAAGCTCTTCCTGAAACACCAATCCAAGATTTTAAATCAAAGTTAGTACTCAATACACATCACTATGACTATCTGTGTATTAGCTGTAAAAGCCCCTTTCATTTTCTAAAGCCCATATTTGTACCAGTAGTTCCACTTTTAAAAACATCAATAAATTAAACAAAGCAGCCTAAGAGCTTTTCACCTTTGGAGTAATAAGAAAGGCGCGTTTTAAGTATTGTGCAACATGTGCCTCCACACTGGCCAGAAATTCAAACATTCATCTTCTCACACATTGTTTTTTTTTAATTAACAGATTGTAATTCTCAGTTTTGTATACCAGGATTATAGGGGCTGCAGTGCATCCTATACAGACTTAAACAGACTGCTACAGACTGACAGACTGCTCACTTGTCAGCTCGGCTGACAAGTGAGCAGGTGGGACAATCCAACAAGGTACGTTTTAGAATCACAATTTCTGCATCTTCTCAGATTCTGCCAACAGAGCAGAACAAAAAAGTGTTCATGAATATAAACACAGACAGACACACGTGAAGAGGAAAAAACAGAACTGTCGTGTGCACTAAAGCACTGAAAAAAAAATCAATAGAAGATATGTGACGCTTGTGTTGGAGCTCTGGTTTGAAATAAACCCACCACTTTAATTCGGATGGGTGACAGGTCTTGCCTCGCCTTGGGAGTCTCCTCCTGTAGACAGGTCTCCTAGAGGAGAGAAGATATTCAAATATTTTCTTGATAAATGCTCAACCTTTCTCATCCAAACATCCAGATGCCATCAAACAAAGAAACAGATCTTTCTTGTTATTTCCTTGGGAACTCTATAATTCATCTAATTTATATTTATTTTGATTAAGCAAATCTTGTTAGCTGTCTGCAAATCATACAAGAGATATCAATGGACTGAAGGATCTCTTTTATTGTCAGTCACTCTCACTCCTCATCCAAACACTGCATGTCTCAGTTAGAGTCTGAAAAGGAAGATAGAGGCCTTTCCATCATGAACACACAGGTGTGCCCACTGAGGCTCAACCAAAACCAATTATATGCAACCTGCTGTTAAATAGTTGGCCCATTATGTATTTGCATGCAATGAAGGGCAACAATAGAGTGGTACGAATCCTATCCCTACGCCTTTATTATACTCCATAGTTTAAACATAGGGCTGACATAGATGAACAGAATCTCACCCTGTGTCCTTGCCCCTGGTTAAAAGATAGTGTTGTTATTTAATAGATATAACTGGGGCAAATATTAGAGTGGTGTGCGGGATCAAAGAACTGACAGCTATTTTGCACTGTAATTACTTCACTATTTTAAGAACAACTTCTTAGTCATGGCCTATCCATCTATCAATCTATTTATATTTAACTCCTCCGAAACACAGAACTGAACACAATTCTCTTAAAGAGGACATATTATCCCCCTTTTCCACCTTTTCTAACAGTCCCCTGTGGTCTAAATGAAACATCTGTGCTGTACTTTGGTCAAAATATAACATGAATCAAGCAGCAGAGGAGGTTTGTGACCCTGTATGAACCAGCTCTCTCAGAACGCTCCGTTTTGGTGTGTGTGTCTCTTTAAATGCATTTTCCTGGTAGACATCAATCCTCTGTAGCGAGAATAAAAATGGCAGACCTACGCAAAAGTTTTGTTCTAGGCTGGGGGTGGAGTCCATGGGTGAAGATACCAGGAGAGGGGAGAGGATTTTTTTTTTTTTTTTTACAAGAATCCCACTGTGACATCACAAGGAGAGCAAATTTGAAACAGAGCATTTTTCTCAGTGTTGTAAGACTTATGCAGACCACAAACAAAGGACTGGATGGGTTTATTTAACATTTTGTGGGTCAGTAGACACTCAACTTACCCAAATATATGTTCAAAAACACTGTAAACATGGATTTTTCATAATATGTTCCCTTTAATTAAACTACTTTCAACTTGAAAGTCCATTTTATTTAGAAAGCCTCAGTTTACATAGACAGCTGTGTTGGCTGCTTATTACTGTAATCGCTACACAAACACTTTACTGTGATTACCTGACAGGCCTGTTCCACTCAGCCTAAATTTACAAAGCAGCCTGGGAAAAAAAAGCACAAAGCTTTTCTTCCCTATTAGAGAAAAAGTTACATTCCTGGGTTCCTCTGACATCTCGTCAGAACTTTTTTAACCAGCAAACACTTAAGAGAAAGTCATGCATGTTAAGAAAAACAGCCATTGTTTCTGACAGCAGCAGGGCATTTTTATACTCTAATAGTGTCAGTTATGGGGATGTAGAGGAGGACTTGCATTTAAAAGATGTGCTCTTAAAAGGAAAACATTGTTATGCTAGATCAGAAAGATGCTGTGGAAAATAGAAGCTTTTGGTTGTAAGATATGAAAATCTGTGGCTCATTAATCATCAATATTCAATAATTACCTTAAATAATAAGTGGTGTATTTATTAATATAATGATCAGGTCTACAGTTATAACTGTTATTATTGAAGATAAGCCAATACACGATAATCAAAAGACATCAAGTCAGCAGTCATAAATAATGTGTTTAGTAAATCATTACTAAAAACATTATACTAAAGCTTTGCCACTATCTGGTAACTAACACCTGATTTTACAAGGGATTTGTAAACGTTTGATCAAGAGTAAAAATGTTGAAATCAACAGCTAAACCCTTATGCCCCCATAAAGGATGACCTATTAGAAAGAACAAGTTTAGAAGCAGAGAAATGGACGAAATAGAGGCCAAACCTTAAATCAAAATGCAATCTCACCACAGATGGCGGCGTCGAGCCTGGCTGCACCTTCCCGCTGACCTGGCCAAAGGTGATCCTCTTCCGTCGCATCCTAAGGAAGACGTAGATGCGGATATAGACCAGGAGAGTGACGATAAACGGCAGGTAGAAGGACACCACAGAGGAGTAGATCACAAATTCAGGGTTGGAGATCGAGCACACCAAAGGGTCATCTACATCAGAAAATAAACCATCATTATGCGAGACAGCTTTCAAATCAGGGGGATAATAACAGGGACAGGTAGTGTGGTGTACAGCCGACCTCTGTGATCCCGGTGCATGCTCTCTAATTTGAAAATGACCTTTATTGGCTTGTCCCTTTTATATAATCTGCATGCACACTTAATTCTACCCTGCTTACGTATACTGAAAGCAGTCACTCTGTGATGGAGGGATGATTGATTCAGCCATAATTGTGTCATAAATTCAGCATAGAAGACAATTTGACATAATAATAAGTGTATAAATCATTATTCAATCATAATTCCAGATTTAAATATCTATCAGATGAGCTATTAGTGCTGTAAATTGAAGTTGAAAAAAAAAAGGGCACAGGCCTTGACCACAGCTGAGGCATGCATATTGCATGTCAGGAGCATGAACAAACTGAGGTGATTTGCTTCTGCCTGGATGTTATTCTGGATCAATACCACATACCCGAATACACAAAGAGATGACAACAGGAACAGACAGGAGCAATCTATTTCTAGGCACACTCCAAACCACCTTCAGTGTCTACAGTCATATTATAAAGCCATAACCCTAACCCTAACCCATCACAAGCCACTGTTATGCATCAGTGTGAATGGACCAAACAAAACGCCTTTATCTCTGTGAGTAGCTTTACATTGTGTCCCACTTACGCTCACCATTGTGAATGCGAAGCCATGCATCTATCTATCTAATGGCATGGCCTGACGTCTTGGTGTTTCTCTGTCCAGCTTTTGTCTTTTTGGTCGATTATTCTTGTTCCTACGTCACTCTGGTCAAATGGCAAACATGTGATCAGGAAATCCAATTTTTGGTTGTATAGACCAGATATAATCCCCCTAAATATCCCTTAGAGACTCATACTTATGTTTATTATCCCACCTTTATTTTGTCATCATGATTGTCAAACTTGTTGGAAAGATCCACTCTCTGTTGTGCCTACTGATGTTTTCTCTTTTCACCATTTAAATGATTTTTTTGAGAAGATGTAAAAAGGCCAACTCTAACATGAAGTCATTTTCATTTTATCTACCTTACCTTCCTCTTTTCTCCCACTGAGCTTTTCTGAAGAGTGACTTAAGACTGTTCCTACCTGAGGAGCTCCCATGTTCCCCAGATTCAACATGCTCCAGCTATCAGTGACTACGAGACAGAGTCACAGGAGACACAATTAAACATGTTCACACATGCTGAGTAATACAGGGCTCACCATGAGAAGCAAGGTGACGTGCTGAATTGGAGGATCCCATTCGGGTTTGCATTTCATGTCCCACCGCTGACCCTTCACAGCTATCAGAGTGAAGTTTGACCCTGATTCTCACAACAACTGCCTTCGCGCCTTGCGTTCTACTCTGCACCCTGCTTTACTTTTGACTCTCTGCTCATCTAGACGAAAAATGTGAACTTTGAATGTTGTTGACCTGACCTGTAGTGTTGAAACCAAACAACAGGGGACAGGAGACAGCGAAAGCCAGCACCCAGACGGTGGCAATCATCATAAAAACTCTCTTCCTGGAGCGATGGGTGGTGTTGTACAAGACGGGCATCACCACTGCTGTGTACCTGCAGAGACACACACATTAGGGTCTTTGCTTGCATGTTTCTATGGATTGGAAGTGACATTGGGATCCAGCCTGAAGATTTCTGCTTTTTTTTTTTTTCAAGATTTATTTTTGGGCTTTTAATGCCTTTAATGGAGAGATAGGACAGTGGACAGAGTCAGAAATCATGTTACCAATGTAACTTTTGCTACTTTGCTAAAGTGCTCATGATGGATTAAGCCGGGTCTTTGTAATATAGCATTAAGTAAGGTCTTTTACCTGCTTTTTGTAACATAACAATGAGGATGGTCTTTAAACCTGCTATTTTGTAATATTAAAAAACATAGAGTAAGGTATTTTACCTGCTTCGTGTAAAGCGTCTTGAGATATACAAATAAAGATTGATTGATTGATTGATTTCAATGAAGAAAATGTTCTGATAAACTGAAGTCAAAAAATATATAATAAAAGAGCCTCCCTGAAAAGAATTAGACTTCGAGGGTTCCAAGAAATACATGCTGGGAGAAAGTGGGTAATATAAATACCACCAGTGAAGCAGCAAACCAGACATTTTCAAACAATTTGGGTATTCAGCAATAAACTTAGTGGAGCTTGATTTAAGAGTTAATCAGCGCACTGTACGCAAAGAGTGTATAACGAGTCCCGGGAAAACTAGGCTCAGCAATAGCTTAGAAGAAACAACAATTATTCTGAACCCCGACCCGAAATGGATGTGATGTTATGTTGTTTAGAGCCAGATAACTGCCAGGATTGTTTATCCTCATCAGACTAATTACACTGGATCTTCTCTGGGCAAAATACAGAGGCGAAACCCAGAGCGCAGACATTCACTCAAAATATTCCTCCCCTCCTGTTGAACCCTCTTACGATGCTGCCGTGTGTTTAAATAAAAGCAAAGCAGAATAAGTGGTGTAAGAAGAAAATAATACACATGATTTATTGATCAAGAGCGGCTTTATGTTACCCTACACCCAAAAGCTTGCCTCCTCAGATCTGAGAAACCATTAAAACATGACCTACACAGTAAATACAGTCAAACAAAAGTGCACCTCACCTTGAAGTTGAATGTGAAATTTGATCTTCTAGTGTATTATTCAGAAATGTTATAGCCTGGTGTGTTAATTTATTTAACCAGGTGAAAATGTACCTTTCCTATAAAGCAACATTTATCAGATAAGCTTGTAGACACACAATGCTGTCACAAAGGCTATATGGCGTCTGTTAAACACAATCAATGTCACAGAAGGTGATCAGTGCTTTGCTTTGATTTAGCACCTTACAAAGTGTTATATAAATATTTACCCTAATTATACAACAATTTGTAAACGTTACATTGACTTATGAAATTTATATTTTATCACATGTGTAAGTTCATGTGCTTGTTATTTACACATCAAGCGGATTATGAAGCAACTTACTCGTTAGTTTTATGTTTTCTACCATCTGGAAAATGTTATTCCAATATTCACTCCCTTATCCCTCTCTTTGGGTCTTTACCAAGTCCTGAGGGAAAGTATCTGGCTCTGGTGACAAAAGCTTTACTTCTTTTTATCAGCAACGCTTTACTTGTTTGTCCTTTGGTGCTGTGGAGTTAATACATTGTTAGTTACAAAATCAATTAGTTTAAACGTTTTAACTTAATAATTCACAGTTTTCAATAATTAAAGGAAATAATTAATATGTTTAAACTAACAACACAGGAGCCACCTTATTTGTTATTTAACGTAAGAAGGGAAAAGTCCTTCTGGCAGTTGCTTCTGTGCCATGCTGGTAGTCAAGCTCTGTACATGATGACACTAGCTTAATTTAAAAAGCTCTCAAGTCTTACAAAGGGTAGAACAATTCTCCTTTGTATATGTACAGATACATCCCCATGACACCTGCCATGCTGTATTCATTCCATGAACTCTTGTTGCCTCTGGCTTACAAGTTCAAAGATTCTCAGGAGCTATTAAATATTAACCTGTGACACGAGAAAAAAACTAAGCAAATAAATAATGTAAAACCTGGGTACACATATAGAGTAATGGTTTTAACTGATGTGCTGCATTGTTTTTTTCTGCATTAATGCAAACAAATGGCAGCAATTAGGCTAGCTGAAAAGCAAGTCTGAACTCAGAACGGCAAATTAAGACCAGAGTGTATAAGTCTTACTGTCTGCCTTCCCTGCTGACACACAGACATGTACACACATCTAAGATATAAGATAGTGTCTCTCTCAGGGAAGTTTTGAAAAATCTATGACGTGGGGTGAAGAATAAAATAACACCTGGAGATACAGCAACCTCACGTGGATGACATACAGGAGATGTCATGGGAACATCTGTGACTGCACCTAGAAGGTAAATGCGCACACACACACACACACACACAAACAGAGCACACTCACCTGTCAATGCTGATAGCACACAGGTTGAGGATACTGGCGGTGCACATCATCACATCTAGCGTGACAAAGATGTTACAGTAGAGCCGGCTGAAAAGCCAGGCACCGCCGACCACCTGCACAGGACAGACAGGAGGATTAACAACACACATTTCTCTTTCATTTCTTTCCTGTGAAGCAGACTATGAACGCACACGCTCAAAAACATGTGACAGAAAGGAAAGGCGTAGGAGAGAAAATGTTTACATGGAGGTATGGAAAATTCACCTATTAAAACAGCAGTCATTTTTCCTCTCAAATTACACTCCGGGCGGGGAACCAAAAAATACTGCATTTTATGCCAAGATGCTCTTCAGGTGTTAATTGGTCTCAATATTGGAAATCTGTAAGCATTTTCCCAAAATCCTCACCAAAGTGCAGCAAATACTAAAAACTCAGACTGACATTAAGACATATTTTGATTGCAACATACAGATTTGTTATTACTGTTAGCTAGGAGGTGGCTGAACGCCAATATTACCTTTTCATTGCTTTGTAGAAATAACAGAAAACGTGCTAAATCCTATCTAATTGTAATGTGAGCAACAAAGCGGTTGATTAAACACATTAGGTGTTTTATAATGGTTAGGGGTTAACAACATTTTAGATTTTACTCAATTTATTCTGAAAATACTTTCCATGTCGTATAACACGAAACTTTCAAAAGGCAATTTAGCTCCCTAGCTTAAAAAACTCTTAGCTAGTACGTTGCTGTATGCTAACATATCGCTTTGATGATGTTGTAAAAAACAATACAGTATATGTGAACATTTTTAGCCGCTAGTAATGTTAGCAAGGAAGCAGTTTGTTGCTAATATTAGCTATTGTCTGATAGTAGCTAATATGTTAAGTGTTTTACGACTTTCCTTATCATACCCTTTTCAGAAGGTAATCAATGCCAATGTTTAGCTTCTTCATTGCCTAACCCGACTGATGAGTATAACGGGTTATCAAATATGTTCATTTTAAGAAACAAGTATACGCATTTCCTTTTATGTCATACAATATTTTCCAGCGCTTCCCTAGCTAACCATAGCATTAGCTAAGTGGCTGAATAGCCTACTAACATTTCTCACTGTCTTTTTTCTGGTCAATCTCAAACAATTAACAAACAAAGCCCACAGCAGTATGAGATTATAACAACATTTAACAGCATATTATAGACCTTCCAACCCTGAGTGCAGGGAATCACAATTGCAATGCATGAATATCTCCATGTT